TTCTTCAGCCAGATTGGTCATCTGGGCCTGTAGTATCACCATGCCGATTTTGAAGAAAATCGTAGGGGCCGCCCCATTGACCGAAAATTTTCATCTTGGGTAAACTTTACCCTGGATGGGGTAATGGGTAAATTTTACCCCACCATTTTGTTTGGGTTTTCATGGGCTTTCATATGATACCCATATTGGGGGGATGCGTGCGATAGTCTTGCCAGAAATGCGTGGGTAAAACTTTCCAAGGGCGTTTTTACCCCATAGATTTCAATGCCCATAGGGGTTTTTTCAGCCAGATTGATCATCTGGGCCTGTAGTATCACCATGCCGATTTTGAAGAAAATCGTAGGGGCCGCACCATTGACCGAAAATTTTCATCTTGGGTAAACTTTACCCTGGATGGGGTAATGGGTAAATTTCACCCCACCATTTTGTTTGGGTTTTCATGGGCTTTCATATGATACCCATATTGGGGGGATGCGTGCGATAGTCTTTCCAGAAATGCGTGGGTAAAACTTTCCAAGGGCGTTTTTACCCCATAGATTTCAATGCCCATAGGGGTTTCTTCAGCCAGATTGGTCATCTGGGCCTGTAGTATCACCATGCCAATTTTGAAGAAAATCGTACGGGCCGCCCCATTGGCCAAAAATTTTCATCTTGGGTAAACTTTACCCTGGATTGGGTAATGGGTAAATTTTACCCCACCATTTTGTTTGGGTTTTCATGGGCTTTCATATGATACCCATATTGGGGGGATGCGTGCGATAGTCTTGCCAGAAATGCGTGGGTAAAACTTTCCAAGGGCGTTTTTACCCCATAAATTTCAATGCCCATTGGGGTTTCTTCAGCCAGATTGGTCATCTGGGCCTGTAGTATCACTATGCCGATTTTGAAGAAAATCGTAGGGGCCGCCCCATTGACCGAAAATTTTCATCTTGGGTAAACTTTACCCTGGATGGGTTAATGGGTAAATTTTACCCCACCATTTGGTTTGGGTTTTCATGGGCTTTCACATGATACCCATATTGGGGGGATGCATGCGATAGTCTTTCCAGAAATGCGTGGGTAAAACTTTCCAAGGGCGTTTTTACCCCATAGATTTCAATGCCCATAGGGGTTTCTTCAGCCAGATTGGTCATCTGGGCCTGTGGTATCACCATGCCGATTTTGAAGAAAATCGTAGGGGCCGCCCCATTGACCGAAAATTTTCATCTTGGGTAAACTTTACCCTAGATCGGGTAATGGGTAAATTTTACCCCACGATTTTGTTTGGGTTTTCATGGGCTTTCATATGATACCCATATTGGGGGGATGCGTGCCATACACTTGCCAGAAATGCGCGGGTAAAACTTTCCAAGGGCGTTTTTACCCCATAGATTTCAATGCCCATAGGGGTTTCTTCAGCCAGATTGGTCACCTGGGCCTGTAGTATCACTATGCCGATTTTGAAGAAAATCGTAGGGGCCGCCCCTTTGACCGAAAATTTTCATCTTGGGGAAACTTTACCCTGGATGGGGTAATGGGTAAATTTTACCCCACTATTTTGTTTGGGTTTTCATGGGCTTTCATATGATACCCATATTGGGGGGATGCGTGCGATAGTCTTTCCAGAAATGCGTGGGTAAAACTTTCCAAGGGCGTTTTTACCCCATAGATTTCAATGCCCATAGGGTTTCTTTAGCCAGATTGGTCATCTGGGCCTGTAGTATCACCATGCCAATTTTGAAGAAAATCGTACGGGCCGCCCCATTGGCCAAAAATTTTCATCTTGGGTAAACTTAACCCTGGATTGGGTAATGGGTAAATTTTACCCCACCATTTTGTTTGGGTTTTCATGGGCTTTCATATGATACCCATATTGGGGGGATGCGTGCGATAGTCTTGCCAGAAATGCGTGGGTAAAACTTTCCAAGGGCGTTTTTACCCCATAGATTTCAATGCCCATAGGGGTTTCTTCAGCCAGATTGATCATCTGGGCCTGTAGTATCACCATGCCGATTTTGAAGAAAATCGTAGGGGCCGCCCCATTGACCGAAAATTTTCATCTTGGGTAAACTTTACCCTGGATGGGGTAATGGGTAAATTTTACCCCACCATTTTGTTTGGGTTTTCATGGGCTTTCATATGATACCCATATTGGGGGGATGCGTGCGATAGTCTTGCCAGAAATGCGTGGGTAAAACTTTCCAAGGGCGTTTTTACCCCATAGATTTCAATGCCCATAGGGGTTTCTTCAGCCAGATTGGTCATCTGGGCCTGTAGTATCACCATGCCGATTTTGAAGAAAATCGTAGGGGCCGCCCCATTGACCGAAAATTTTCATCTTGGGTAAACTTTACCCTGGATGGGGTAATGGGTAAATTTTACCCCACCATTTTGTTTGGGTTTTCATGGGCTTTCATATGATACCCATATTGGGGGGATGCGTGCGATAGTCTTGCCAGAAATGCGTGGGTAAAACTTTCCAAGGGCGTTTTTACCCCATAGATTTCAATGCCCATAGGGGTTTTTTCAGCCAGATTGATCATCTGGGCCTGTAGTATCACCATGCCGATTTTGAAGAAAATCGTAGGGGCCGCCCCATTGACCGAAAATTTTCATCTTGGGTAAACTTTACCCTGGATGGGGTAATGGGTAAATTTCACCCCACCATTTTGTTTGGGTTTTCATGGGCTTTCATATGATACCCATATTGGGGGGATGCGTGCGATAGTCTTGCCAGAAATGCGTGGGTAAAACTTTCCAAGGGCGTTTTTACCCCATAGATTTCAATGCCCATAGGGGTTTCTTCAGCCAGATTGGTCATCTGGGCCTGTAGTATCACCATGCCAATTTTGAAGAAAATCGTACGGGCCGCCCCATTGGCCAAAAATTTTCATCTTGGGTAAACTTTACCCTGGATTGGGTAATGGGTAAATTTTACCCCACCATTTTGTTTGGGTTTTCATGGGCTTTCATATGATACCCATATTGGGGGATGCGTGCGATAGTCTTGCCAGAAATGCGTGGGTAAAACTTTCCAAGGGCGTTTTTACCCCATAGATTTCAATGCCCATAGGGGTTTCTTCAGCCAGATTGATCATCTGGGCCTGTAGTATCACCATGCCGATTTTGAAGAAAATCGTAGGGGCCGCCCCATTGACCGAAAATTTTCATCTTGGGTAAACTTTACCCTGGATGGGATAATGGGTAAATTTTACCCCACCATTTTGTTTGGGTTTTCATGGGCTTTCATATGATACCCATATTGGGGGGATGCGTGCGATAGTCTTGCCAGAAATGCGTGGGTAAAACTTTCCAAGGGCGTTTTTACCCCATAGATTTCAATGCCCATAGGGGTTTCTTCAGCCAGATTGGTCATCTGGGCCTGTAGTATCACCATGCCGATTTTGAAGAAAATCGTAGGGGCCGCCCCATTGACCGAAAATTTTCATCTTGGGTAAACTTTACCCTGGATGGGGTAATGGGTAAATTTTACCCCACCATTTTGTTTGGGTTTTCATGGGCTTTCATATGATACCCATATTGGGGGGATGCGTGCGATAGTCTTGCCAGAAATGCGTGGGTAAAACTTTCCAAGGGCGTTTTTACCCCATAGATTTCAATGCCCATAGGGGTTTCTTCAGCCAGATTGGTCATCTGGGCCTGTAGTATCACCATGCCGATTTTGAAGAAAATCGTAGGGGCCGCCCCATTGACCGAAAATTTTCATCTTGGGTAAACTTTACCCTGGATGGGGTAATGGGTAAATTTTACCCCACCATTTTGTTTGGGTTTTCATGGGCTTTCATATGATACCCATATTGGGGGGATGCGTGCGATAGTCTTGCCAGAAATGCGTGGGTAAATCTTTCCAAGGGCGTTTTTACCCCATAGATTTCAATGCCCATAGGGGTTTCTTCAGCCAGATTGATCATCTCGGCCTGTAGTATCACCATGCCGATTTTGAAGAAAATCGTAGGGGCCGCCCCATTGACCGAAAATTTTCATCCTGGTTAAATCATGCTTTTGGTTAAATTGATCCGGTATTTAACCATATCATTGGGTCCGGGGTGAAGAGATCTTTCAAATGGTGGTCTTATTTTTCAGTTTTGTCCAGCCGTTTAGGCGTAAAACGGCTTTTAGATTTTTCCCTAGATTTCTAGATTTTTCCCTAGATTTGGCAGCCCCAATCTGGGCTGGGCCGAATGTGGGCTGAATGTGGGCTAACTTCCGTTACATGACTAGCACACTCGGCTCGGCACACTTGGAACCAAGCCATCAAGCTAGCTGATCACCGTCGAGACTCGAGACAAGGTGTAATTTCAGTTTTTCAATTATGCATTGCGGGCTGGGGCATTGTCCGGGTAGCGCCTATCTTTTGTTGCAAAAACAAAATGCGCCCCTCGCTCCAGATTGATTCGCTGTTGCCATGGCAACATGAGGCAGTTTTGCACCCTAACTGCCCCCGTGTTCGATGTCTCTCGGACGACGAAGATTCTACGTCGTCCGGCCAATCCCGTTCAAGGTCAGCGGGGGCTCGGCTGCGGTTATGGAACGTGATTGGTCGGACGACGTAGAATCTGCGTCGTCCGAGAGACATCGAACGAGGGGTTTATCATCATTTTATTTTAACCGGAGCACTAGCTGCTTTATATATAACCTTGATCAATGAGCAGATCCTTTCGTAAAAAAATTGTTTAGAGTTTCAACCGCGACCGACTTCGGCATTTGCACGGGTAATGTATTAATATGTGTTTTTTATGCCATATATAGGTAGTTCATTTAGGGCATAATCTAACCTGCCCCGATTAGATGCCCCATTTGGGGCAGAAATCGGGCTGCCCGGAAGTCAACTGCCCCATTTGGGGCAGGATTCCGGCTGCCCCAAACACCTCGTCGAGCTGGCTGCCACGTTTTGCAGACTGGGCACTGAGTGGGCTGCAGCTTTCTACTTTATTGGTGCGGCGTTTGAGATGAATTTGGCTGGACGCTTCATTGTTGATTGTCCAATTTCCATAGAAACCCAACCTGCTGCATGCCAAGGTATTATCTTAGCAGACGTCACCCGAGCTGCCATATCCAGAAAGGGAGGTTGTAGGTTGGTAGGTTAGGTTGTAGGTTGTAGGTTGGTAGGTTAGGTTTAGGTAAGGTTAGGTCAGGTTAGATTATGTTTTGTTATATATTTAACCTTGAAAAGACCATTGTGGCGCACGTGAGACATAGATATGGCAGCTCGTGTGACGTTTGCTAAGAGAGTACCCATGCCAATGCATCACAGTGCTATGAAACACTAGGTACCCCTCTAGAATTCAAAGCTGCTTGACCTGAAAATTGAAAGATCCTTATCTATGATTAATGAGTATGACGTCCATTCTGACAGACTTTGACTTATTTTGGTCAGGGGTCAGGAAAATGAGGTGCTTCCAAGTTCCAGTGTTTATCCATGTTTCATTGGTACTGGTTGATGTTGGTAAGGGGGGCTGATGCCCAGGGTGTGTTAGGAGCACTGTGCACTGTGTGCACTGTGCATGGATACCATATTGAACCTAATGAAAGCCAGGCCCATTTTTACTCTATTGTAAGAGACTTTAAAAGACACACTCAAGTGGAACACGTCAATAAGGTTCTGAGTCTGAGTCAATTCAAAAGGCTCAGACTGAAAGTGTAAAAAGGAAATGCTGATCTCTTGCTTCCAGACTGCCTTAATTGAAGCAGGAAAAAGTAGGAACTAAGAACATATCTGAGTTGGGTGGGAAAACACTCAATGACTATGCCTATGGCCTAAATTTACTAGCTTATTCAGTACTTACTAAGCTGGAATAATTATTTCATGTTGGTGGCTTTCAGTCATTAGGTCTTCACCCTTGCTGGATCTATTGGTTTTCCACATGCAACCCAGATCAGTGCTGAGGGTTGTGGGGGGTTAATGGAACCCCCATCACTGTCTTGCCCTTAATTAAGCTAAAGATCTGAGCAAAAACGAAAAACGAGAGTTTGCGCCATTTTTGGACGCAACGCCTGGTTCCCAATTTTATGGTTAATTGGTGACCTCTGAGGTCAAGTCTATCAAATGCCCCGCCCCCAAGGTACAGGGCCACAGGCTCATTTTTCTGTGAATAATCTTGCCAAAAATGAAGACGACATGCATGCATACAGAAGATGTCATGCAAGGTGAACATTGCTAACATGTAATGAGTAATATGGGACCTTGCAGGAAGTGCATAAAATCTTATGTTCCTGCTGCTTTATGTGGTGTCACATGATGTCCCGTTGTCTTTAACTTTACTGAAATAAGCTTATTTTTTACAGATAAATGCACTGAGCTGATCATGCTTGCTGACCTTGAAAGCACGAGGAAGGAGTTGGAAAAAGAAGAGCTGAGTGTAAGTGAACCGCCTTAAGAAATAACTAAGTTATTGTTATGACCTGTGCCATTTTATTGGTGAATAGTATTTTGGCAAAGCAACATTTTGATTGATCGTGTTTCATTGTGATCAATTCTTCTAAACTCAGGCAACTTAATTGGTGGACATCTTTGAAAGGAAGGCTACTCACTCAAGGGAATAAATGGGCAATATTTCGAACTTCAATATTTCAATATTTCGTAGGTAGCACCATGGCATCATGATGCTCCTGGGTTTACCCAAGGTCTAGCATGGCCCCCTCTCGCCAGTTGCCAGCTGGCCAGAAAAGCAAGGCGGTTCCAACAGGCTGCTTCCTTAGGGCCTCGAACTCACGGCCTCTGGGTCATCAGTCGTCGCCTTGTCCACAAGGCCATCACTGAGTTTGAACATTGTTACTCTCCATGGACAATGCTTTCTACATAGTAAAATAATGCTAGGTATCAGATGGTGGCTTGTTGATCAAAGAAATGAAGTGAAGGATGATAAGAATTGACAACCTATAAAAGCTGAACAATTGTTTTTTTCAGGCTCCAGATGGAGTGGCACCCTCAGAAGTGTATTCCAAACTGATGGCCTGCTATCTCCTAGAAAATGACCTGTAAGTATTTAAAGTTTAAGTTTAAGTTTAGATTAATGGACTGTCATTAGATTAGGCCTATTCTTGCGTCCATTTCATTGTCTTGTATCGAGTCTTCATCTTGGGTCTTCAATGACTCGAGCATATGCAGACGAGAGGGAGCGTGGGATACTAAGCACTAAGCCAGGGTATAGAATGATTGTTTGTGTGGGAGCCAGTTTTCTAGCATCTACTTTTCACATTACAGCCATTTTAGTTTACATTTAGCCATACATACATTTACATTAGCCATACATACATACATACATACATTTAGCCATTTTAGCCAGTACAGCCATTTTAGTGCATGGCCTTCGTCTTGAACGATTATGATGAGTCCTTTACCGTTTATTGGCATAATTGTTTTGTGTGGTAGGTATGTATGAATTGTACCCTCAGTCATATTAAGATGTAGGACGTAGGTAGGTATGACAATGTCCGATCTGTTGTTCTATAGTAATGTCACAATTTCTATCAATGCGGTGTAGGATAAGCACTATGACATCGGAATGCTTACGTGTTAATTCTTCACGTCACGTTAATGCTTAACGTGAAAATAATCATGTAGGGATACGGTTTAGCAAAAGATGGATGTAATTAGAAAGCAGCGTGAGCCTTTCCCAACTTATTGCACATTGTACATGTACACACCTAGCCTGTGCTGCAGCCTGTGTAGCCTGTGCTGCACTTCCTTGGTGCTACGACCGGCCCTGCTGATTGTTGATTTTGTGTCTGCTCGCTGCGTGGTCACAATGTCGGTGCCGCCTACAGATGCAGTGCCAAGTTTCTCTGGAAGCGGGCCCCGGCGTCAGCCAAAGAAACAGATGGTCCCCTGGGCCGACTCTGGTCGGTTGGACAGAAACTCTGGACCAAAGACTTCCCCGCCACGTATTCGGTATTGCGAGGAGAATGGCCAGACTATCTGCAGAAAGCTGTCAGCGAGCTGGAAGGTATGATAGGTACCAGCTTTAGTTGGTTTTACGGTTACGCTTCAGATTTCTGTGGCTCTCATGTCCGATGACAATATCCGACTCTGTTTGTCCTACGTGGCGTGTTTTTTCGTGTCATTGTTAGGAAGCTGATAAGATGCACAGAGTACACAATACAACCTCGGGAACATGTTACTTATTTCTGGTCAAAGTGGTAACAAAAAAAAAACATTTCTTAGGTGAGTTTGGTCTTTATATAACATAAGTGATTTGCTGATTTGCTTCGCTTCTAATTTGTTGAAGCCATTCTTACTTGTATCTTGTATGCAGGACGCAAGTGGAAAACAACTTATACAGGGGACACGCTGCTAATATAGAACGTGGCATATCGCGCCTCGCGTAATAATCACACGTCCATAAATTCACACTGAACTGACAGCCGTCTGTACCCGCTCTCCCCAGGCGTGATCCGCGAGCGGGTGCTGACGCTCGTCTCGCGAGCCTACACCTCCATTACGCTGACTGACCTGGCGGCGTTCGCCGGCGTGTCCGCCGACCAGGTGGCGGCCGTGGCTCGCGAGCGCGGCTGGAGCGTAGACGGCGCGGTGGTCGGTCCGAAGCCGGCCCCGCCCGTCATCCACGGCGCTACCAACTGTGAGAAGACGCTCGCTGTGCTCACGCAGTATGTCTCCTTCTTGGAGAACTGATGGGTCGCGGACAAAAATGAACCTCGTGGTGTGTGTGAACGAGAGAGGAAAGGCCTGTGAAGTGGGAAATGTGCGTTGAGCGTCGTGGAACACAAGGACACGTGATAATGTTGTGTTACATATTTCGAATTGTCATGTGAACGGCGTGTAAGTATTTGGGAATATTTGGAATGTTTGCACTCTCGACTTTTTTATTCGTACTTGAGGTTCTCGCGTTGCTATGTGTCACGTTGCGTGTTTTGTATGAGTCGTAGACAGTGATAGACAGCAGGCATACGCAGCAGACATCAGACATGAGCACGTGGTAGACAAAACGAACCATGAACGAGTACACTGCGGCGATTTCAGTGACTGGTGTGGTATATGGCTCCAGACGAGCTCTTTTTTTTTGCATCACTACGCAGGGAACTGTTCGAGACGCTATAGGTATTGGGTTTGTCGTTGAACAGCAGCTCTGAGACATTTGTCGTTTATGATCGCACTGGTGTACCCTGCTCGCTTCCTATCGGTTTGCTGCGTCGTAGATCTGGAATGTGAATTTGCACCCAAGAACGTCATTTGCGTGGAATGTTTTTTTTTTCATTTGTTTAATCCGATCTTGCTAAAACATCGAGTACGAGCCGCACTAAATGTGTTCCATTAATTGCTGCACACGTCATTCTGTTCTCGATTGCTCAGTTATGTCGGATTATTATTTTTTGTGGGGTGAACGATCCCAGACATGACGGTAAATGGTCAACAAATACATAACATGCTTCAGTGAAGCTGATTGAATCGGTTTGTCACCTAACTGGAATAGAGTGTTAACTTTAGAATTCATAACGGCTTAGCACGAATTTTCAACTACTATCGCCATGTTTTGTAAGCTTGACTTGGTGAGCATGAAATGGTACTGCCCGGCCTTTGCGACTGTGTGAACTAACAAATCGATCGAACACATTTAATAAGTTAATTGTTATTTGTTGATAAGGCAGGAAGTCGTCACATCACGATCGTTGCAAGGATAGGTAACTAAAAGAAAAGGTAAGCTTTTGCCGATCATATATATTGCAGATCATTTCATTAAGGAAGACACGATGTTCCTCAGACAGAAAAGACGTGTTCAGCGTTACGCCTGTCTTTTTCGGTGCGCTACTCACAAAAGTATGACAAGAGGCTCCCGATACAAAGAGCCATTCGCTGTTACCCTGTCCTATTCATTTTCGTGACAAGTTGACTGTTCACACATTGGAGCCCACATTGTCGTTACTGCTGCTGCTGCTGCTGCCGCTCTACTTGGGGTAGTTCACGCCGAATTCCCTGCAGGGACGTCTCTCATCCGTCTGCGTTCTGGCCTGTGATGCGGGGGTCGCTTCTGAGCCGCCTCTCCAGGGTCTGGTGTTTGACCGGCGCCATCTGTTTGTGTCTCTCCAGCAGCAGCTCCAGCACGTGCAGCCGGAACATGGTGTCGTGGCAGAACCTCAGGTACTCCTGCTCCTCCTCCTCCGTCAGACCGACGTAGTTCTGCTGGTACCAGTGCTGTCGGTCTTGCAGCGCCTCAGTCTCCTCCTCGAACTGTTTCTGCAGACGGTTCGCCTTGTCGACCAGCCTCTGGCGGAACGCCTGCATGCACTCATCACGCAGCTTGAAACGCACCGGTGTGCTCATTTCGGACTCGGGTATGTTGAGCCTGGCCAAGAACGGCCCCAGAGGATCTTTGTCCTTTTCAACGAGGCGTGTGGACTGGGCTGCGATGAACGCCTCCAGGTCTTTGCGGTCGCTGCGAATTTGCGGCACGAGGTCACTATCGAACAGCGCCTTCTCCAGGTCGAGCGCCGCCTCCTCCTGGGTGCGGGCGTTCAGCAGCTCGACTATCTCGTCCTCGGCCTCGCGGACGGCGGCCACCGCGCGCTCCTCGTCGTCCATCTGCGCCTTCATCATGTAGTAGAGGTCGAGCATACGCGGCGGGAGCTCGTCGACATCGGCGCTGTACCCGGAGGCGGCGGCCTCCTCAAGGATCGGTACCAGCCGTGCCTTGTCGTCCGGGTGGGGTTTGGCGAACTCGCGTCGCTCCGCGGTCACTCGGCCTCTGCGCGCGTGGAACACGACACTGATCTTGGCGTCCGCCAGGTCGAACGTTCTCTCGCTGACGCCGTCGTCTCCGTCGCCGCGGGGATTCCTGTGCATCCGCTCAGTGATGCTCACTAGCGGCTTCCGCGTGGTGCCGGCGGGGCCGAACTTCTTCTGGATGGCGCCGACTTCGGTGACACGGCGATATAGCTTGTCGTCGCGGTCTTGGAAGTCCTCCTCAATGAAGCCACCTTCACCAACGGTGCGTGCGATCAGGCAGTCTGTACGCGTCTTCGGGAAGTAGCGCATCACTCGCCTGTCCTCAGGGTTGTGGCCCAGCACCGCGTACTGATGCTCCTGAAGTGCATCGTCCCGGCCTCGCTGGAATTTGTCTTCTATCCAGCCAGTCGCCGGCGTGATTTTGCGGCTGATGAGCCGGTCAGCGCGGTGCAGATACGACTCCGTTATCGTTTCCACCGTATCGCAGCTGAAGTCGGAGTAGACGGTCAGCCGGCGAACGAGGCCGTCCTTCATCGTGTACGGCGAGAACTGCTCCAGCCTCGAACGGTAGAAGCGCATCACCTTTCGGCCACACGGAAAACGTTCGTCGTACCGCTCCTTAGAGACCTGCAGACGCTCCACCCAGGACAGCGGCATCTCCATGAGCCGGTCGGCGTCTAGCACGGCCTCCTCCAGGTCGGTCTCCAGCTCGTCAGGATGTGGGGTGCGCAGCGCGTCGCGTAGCAGCAGGAACTCCCAGTGCGCCGGGTTGAATAGGTCGTACTCGAGGTCGCGCACACCGTTGATGCAGTACTGCAGGTTGATCCAGTAGTTAGTCTGGTTCCAGAGGGATTCGATGCCCAGGTAGTCGCCGCACCGTATTCCCTTCCCCATGCCTGTGGTGGATTCGATGAAGAACGGCTCAGTGACGTCCCGCTCGCCTGGTAGCACCAGCACCCAGGCGTGCACGCGCATGCCAAACAGAGGATCGGGCGGCTCCTTCTCCCTCTCGTTTGTCTCCTCCAGTTCGCGCTGCAGCTTCTCCCTTTCCATTTTCCTCGCGGCTTCCCGCACTCGCTCCTCCATCATCTGCTCATACTTGCTGGCCAGTTCTTTCTGCGGCTTCAGCTGGTACCTGTTCTCTGGTGCAGACTCTACAGTCGAGTCGTCTTCGTCCTTATGCATCATGTCCGGGCAGACGACGCGAGTCGTGTCGCGGAGACAGACTGCTCGCACTGCGTAGCCGGACACAACGTAGGCGCGGTACCCAGCGCCGGCCAGCAGCGAGCACAGCACCGTGCTCATCTCGAAGCAGTTGGCCGTCTGATAGCGCAGCACGGTGGCCGGAGACATCATCCCCTCGGGCGTCTCTGTCGGCTGTTTCAGGGGTCGATAGTCGAGATGGTCGGCGACGAAACTTGCGCAGCCCTGCCAGTCATAGCAGTCGAGGTACGGCAGCAGGGATGGTCGAATAAAAGTGCTCGCACACTTCGGCATTCGACAGTCGTTGAGCGGGTTGAGGAATGGCGGCTTGCGATCAGGATACAGATGAGTGTACTGCGCGAGAAATCGCTGCGTATGCTGAAAGAGTTTCGTCTCCTTCGGCGTATCTGAAGTGTAGCTCTCAGGATAGTCATCTCTGGCAAGAATGTGAATGTCCGAAACGCTCGGCGGCTTTTTAATCAATGCAGTCGAGTCTAACTCCGCCAGCTGCGTCTCTGACTGGTAGTTCTCACTCCTCGCACGCTCACGACCCTCGCGTCTCAGGCGGTCTCTTATGCTCTCTTTCCTCGCCGAATCGCGCTCACCAGCAGCGGCTTCTTCTCCTTCGCTGAGCACATCGTCGTGCGACTCTTGGTCAGACTTGTCCGACAAGTTGCTTTGGACGTCCGGCACAACACCGTATTCATCTTCTCCAGCGGGATGTTCGCTATCTTCCTTTGGCCCCTCGCTCTCTGCTGGTCCATTGTGCTCGCCGTTTTCCTGCGGAGCCGGAGCTTCACCATCGGTGTGGTCGGCAGTGGCAGGCTCCTCGGACTCGGCGACAGTGTGTGCCTCCGCGCCACCATCGCTCATGTTCTTGTCCGGCTTCTTATTCAGCGACTATGATTTCCAGTGGTTTGCGAAATAAAACTTGTTCTCGTTACTCGTTAGTCCAGTTCACCCCAACAGCGACTTCTGAAAGTATCTTCCGTTTACGACACTGCGTACTGAAGGCTCTTCTTTGGGCTCTGGGCTGCGCCGGTTGCGCTGCTAAATCGATGCTGTTTTATTGATCAAACGGCACGTGGCGTCTCGCCAATGACCGCTGTTGTTCGGATGTTACGATAAGAGGTGGAATATTTGTTTGCTTATAAGTGTCATGCCAATAGCAATAGCAATGTTTATCTATGAGCTCTACAGACCACAATCCTAATTTTGCGAATTTGAGATAGCTTTCTTATCCAGTTCGTTTCGCATCGTTACGTCTAATATTTGCATATCTAATTAGAAGAATCATTGAATAAAATACCGCCTAGACGGGACAGAGTGTTAGTACTTTGAGCAAAAACGGTCTGAATTGACATCATTGAATCGGTTGTAAGGAGTTCTAAAAATTGTTTACCTAAACAAAATCAGACGACAATTTCACGAACAATGTATACGTGGTACAGAAGAACGCACGGAGTTCCACGCCGACCACACAATCAGGTTTCGACTTAGGTAGGGTACCGTAGGGCCCGGGAGGGGGGAAGGGGCGGTGAACGTCTCCCTCAATCGATGGATAATAAGTGTTCAACATTTATCAGGATTATATTTTCTAAGAAGCCTTGTTCTAGCAACAAACCGTCTCTGGCATTGAACTTCCAATGTAGGTACCTACCAAAGATCGACATAGCTCTGCGAACAATGTTAAAAAGTTTTGAAGTTAAAAATAATACCTAAAGGCTTGTTAATTGTTTCGCTACTCACCAATTTTGATTAACCCCTGTCCCCTGACGATTTTGGGGGCTGGGGCCAAAATATAACAAACTCAAAGGTACGAGTAGACGATGGCGTAGAGATCCAAAAGACTGCTCGAAGCTGATGTAAGCCCTTCAACAGACCTATACTTACCTCACCTGAAAATAGAGCAACTGGAGCTGGATTTCGAGAACAAGAGATTTCATCAACCAGCATACTTGCTTTCGGCGACATAACTGCACCCATGGTCTTTGAAGCCAAGATTACTATTTACTATATCGCTTGAGGTCTCCCCACTTACGATACCCGGTCATAATCCTTACGGCCTCCAAGTTCCTCGGCCGCTTCACTGGCGGATCCAGGGGGGGGCCACGGGGGCCATGGCCCCCCCCCAAAGGCCTAAAGTGGCCTGTTTGGCCCCCCCCAAAACGTCAGAAAATTTCTAAGAAAATATACCTTGATGGAGGTTTTTAGCCACTTGGTGAAGTAAAGTTTCCACAGCATAATATGGAAGCAATATGGTAGCAGTGAGGGTCAGTCAAAAGTTGCGCGAGCGGAGTCGACCTTCAAAAAGACTGTTGTTGGCACGTGTTTATGGCGCGGCAGCTGGTAGTTGGCGGTGTTTCGCGTGGTGTGGCATCACTGGCGGATCCGGGGGGGGGGTAGCACGGGAGCCTGAGGTGCCCCTGACAGGCCCGTGGTGCCCTTGCTAGGCCTGTGGTGCCCCTGGACCCTGGCAGGCCTGTGGAGCCTCTGGCGGGCCTAGGGTGCCCCTGCTAGGCTGCTGATGCCCCTGGGACCTGACAGGACTGTGGTGCCCCTGACAAGCCTTAAGTGCCCCCAACAGGCCCGTGATGCCCCCGACAGGCCCAAGGTGCCCCTGCGGCCTGCGTGATGCCGTGATGCCTGCGAGGCCGGTGGTGCCCCTGCGAGGCCGGTGGTGCCACTGCGAGGCCGGTGGGGCCCCTGACAAGCCCATGGTGCCCCTGCGAGGCCGGTGGTGCCCCTGCTAGACCGGTGGTACCCCTGGCAGGCCTGTGGTGCCCCTGCTAGGCCGCTGGTGCCCCTGGGCCCTGACAGGACTGTGATGCCCCTGACAGGCCCAAGGTGCCCCTGTAAGGCCGGTGGTGCCCCTGTAAGGCCTGTGGTATCCCTACTAGGTCTCTGGTGCCCCTTTGACAGGCCCATGGTGCCCCTGCGAGGCCGGCGGCGCCCCTGGCAGGTCTCTGGTGTCCCTGACAGACCTGGGGTGCCCCTGACAAGCCTGTGGGGCCCCTCACAGGCCCGTGGTGCCCTTGCTACTTGCTAGGCCTGTGGTGCCCCTGGCGGGCTGGTGGTGCCCCTGCTAGGCCGGTGGTGCCCCTGACACGCCTGTGGTGCCTCCGGGCACCAAGGGGGGTCATGACCCATGTGGCCCCCCTTGGATCTGCCACTGATACATAATATATTGATTTGTAAAGGCGTTATGGCTTATGCAATATGCAATTGCAGGCACTTGGTATGCCTCACTTATCCCTTATTGGGGGCTCTGGCGGGCTCCTGAGGGCCCACGTCTATCTCCGGGAGCCCTTGACAGGCTCCTTTGGGTCCTTTCAGTCCACTATAGCATAAGAGGTCTCCATGCGAGTCCTATACATCTGAGGGCGTACCCTGACGTCTGAGGTACCCAACTGCAGCTCCAATGGTCTCTTACACTGGCGGATCCAGGGAGGGGGCATTTAGGGCCATGCCACCTTCCCAGAGGTCTAAAGTGGCCCGTTTGCCCCCTCCCACAAACGGTACCTAATGAAACATAGTTCAATCAGTGCGTGGCCTAGGAGCCGAGTTAGACAGGGGGTGTTTTACCACCTCCCGGCCCGCAAAGGGACCCAAGCACTGACTCGAAGCGGGTTAACTGGTCGACAAAAGCAATGGTAAGTGCTTACAAAGTAATACAAAGGCATGGGTCGGGTGGGCTACCATTTATATATTTTTCTTTCTAGTTAAAAAAAAAAATCATAGTGTCGGGGCTGTGACGAAAAATAAGTGGCCTAAATCCGATGAGAAAACAGGATTTGGGGGTACCCTAGGTTTGGCTCCAGCATGAGTTGGCCCCCCCCAAAACGCAAGCCTGGATCCGCCAGTGGGCCGCTTCGTCGCGTCGCTCCGCCGAAATGCCGAGCGATCGTGCGGCACAGCATGCTGCAGGCGCCGCGTGTGAGAGCCATCTGTTGGTAGGAATTGAAACTACTGGGCCGTGAGTCGTGCGGCACAGCATGCTGCAGGCGCCGAGTGTGAGAGCCATCTTTTGAGAGAAATCGAAACTACTGAGCCGCTAGCCCTGCCCTGCGGTACAGCATGCTTCAGGCGCCGCGTCTGAAAGCCATCTGTTGAGAGGAACTGAAACTACTGAACTGTGCGCCATGCGGCACAGCATGGAGCAGGCGCCGCGCGTCAAGGCCATCTGTTGGTAAAGATGGGAACTACTTTGGGCCATGCGGCACAGCATGCCGCAGGCTCCGCGAGTGAAAGCCATCTGTTGGTAAGAAAGGCAACTACTTGGAGTCATGCGGCACAGCATGCCGCAGGCGCCCCGCGTGAAAGCCATCTGTTGAGAAGAATCGAAACTACTGAGCCCTGCGGCACAGCATGCAACAGGCGCCGGCGCTGTATGTCCGATACACCTGTCGACACTCTCGACACTCTCGACACCTGTCGATACTGTGTGACTGTCCTGCGGCACAGTATGCTGGTAATCTTGAGCACATTTGGGAGTGAGTGATCTGTCGAAAGGATTGATAACTACTGAAATGTGCGCCACTCCATTCCCGAGGCTCAATTACTTAGTCATTTGTCTGGGGCCATCCATAAAATTAATTAAGGTAATATAAAATCAGCATATTTTTCTAACTAATGGAATGGTTAGGTCGTGGCTAGTGGCTACCCATCGATGTTTTCACTTTTTTTGCCATGTGGTACCTATTGTGGTTCATTATACCAATGTCCAGCAGTAACGCAAACATTAAAAAAGTCACCTCATCCTTTGCAGGATTACGTACTGTGGGAGTTGCGTTTGGCAGATAATCACGTTGTTTATCGATAAAACGAAGTTCGTCGACCCGACAGCGCCTGCGAGCAGGGCGCGGCAGCCGCCCCTGTCATTCCGTCCAGCTGGCAGCGGTGGGGCCGGCAGTCAGCTGTGTTGCTATGACAACCATTGTACACAAACCAGGGCTTGGCGTTTGGCTCGTTTGGCTTGGCGTTTGGCAGCGTTTGGGAATGCCTGCGGCAAAACGCCCGAGGCAAATCTAGTTATATGCATTGTGCACACCGATATTTATTTAGCGTGTATGAGAAAATGTGTCAATATTTTATATAGTAAATATGTGACAAGATCAAGAAGCTATATTTTTGAAGTATTTATTCGAACAGATCCGTGGATAACCGATCATGGTAAGTGCCGACCCATGTTGTTAGTTCGGTTCTCATATTCAATGCATTTATTTGTAGCGAATATTTACAAGCACCCATCAAAATTGTGTAATGTTAATTTGCTACAAGTAAAATCAAAGACATATCCAGGATTATTCTCAATTCTAATTCACCTTAGAGCCATTAACACCGATGTCCAGTGATCACCTCACCAATGCAGTACCTACTACTACCATGCCTATTGCCTAGGTATTACCTATACCTACCTACCTATTCCCATCTCTGCTATGCTACTGTGGTGGAATAGAGAAGGGGAGAAAGGGATCTAGCTTCTCTCGTTACATGAGGATGGGGATAGGGATGAGGTAAAATTGTTGGTAGGCTCCATAAACTCCACTTTGTTGAATAAACGTTTCGTAAATGATTGTACAGGAAAATGTTATGAAACGACGGGAAAATGATAAAAAAGCGTTTTCCTAGGATACGACAGCACTTGGCAGTGCTGTCTTCTGCCTAACGAAATCGCAGATCCATCGGGCGATTGAAAAATAAATCAGAGAAAAAAGATGGCAAAAAAAGTCATGGATAATACTGGCTGTCCCGCCAATTTATCGGCACCTATGTGTTTCAGGCACCGAAAAAGAAAGGAGGCAAGAAGAAGGGGAAGGGGTCGGCCAAGGGTCCGGCCATCATCGATGGCGTCGCCGTGGCCGACATGACCAGGGAGCAGGTGGAGGCGCACCTGGAGCGACTCAGGGAGGAGCTCAACCGGGAGCGCGAGGAGCGCAACTACTTCCAGCTGGAGCGCGACAAGATCAACACCTTCTGGGAGATCGCCAGGCAGCAGCTGGATGACGCCAGGGCAGAAATCAGGTTAGTGCAGCTCATGTCTCTACTGATACGGATTCCCCGGGAGCGATCCGATTAAATTTCCGATATAAACACATTATAGACGTTACAAAATTCAGTGGTATGCAACAGATCGATAGTTGTTACGATTAGTACGCACTTTTTGTACCGTTTACGATATTGTACTGTTTTCAGAAACAACGCTCGCGAGATAGAAGAAGCCGAGGTGGCCCACCGGACAGAGATCAGCATCTACAAACAGAAGATCAAACATCTGCTGTACGAGCACCAGACGAACCTGACCGAGCTGAAGGCTGAGTACCACGAGGACCTCAAACAGGCGGAGGACGAGCACCTGGTCAGCGAGAATGAGCTCAACAAGGACAAACATAACCTGGACAAACTGATACGGGAGCGCACCATCGCCGAACAACAGCTCATCAGAGACCTGAAACTGGTGGGTAACAGTCCAATAAGACCAGCCTGAAGAACGCAGCTGTTTGATAAGTGTCCTACAGACAACTCGGTTGATCGTCATTTTATTGATTACGACATAAAAGATGCCTTTCTGCTCGCTTACTTCAAATCCGATACCTATCAATGCATAATGTTACGCGTAAAAACTAAACGTAATTGTAAAACGTACCTATCTTAGGCGGGGCTATTCACCAATTCTCTGCGTTACGTTGCAGAAATATACCGACCAACTGAGCAAGCAACTGAACGACTTTGAGCAGCGACTGAGGGAGATGGAAGCCAAGTACGAGAAGCGCCAGCGCACCCAGCGCATGGAGCTCGAACTGCAGCGCCGGACCGAGCTGCATGAGCTCGAGGAGCGGAAAAACACTCAGATCAACCAGCTGATCAGCAACCACGAGAAGGCGTTCGGCGAAATGAAAAACTATTACAACGACATAACGCTCAACAACTTGGCGCTGATCAACACCCTGAAGGTATGCAGCTGGCGATGGTCTGACTTTTCCGATTATACCGAACTAGACTTCATCGACGAATTATAATCACAAAGCAACCTCTAAAACGTCAAATAAAACAAACGACCCAAGGGCATAGGGAAATCGATACATGATGACCTTCCGTGGCCTTTTTGTGCAGGAACAAGTGGAAGACCTGAAAACGAAAGAAGAGAGAACTGACAAACACATGCACGAAGTAATGAGGGAGAACAAAAACTTGGTGCAGCCCCTTCAGAAAGCAAAGGAGAGGGTGAGTCACTTCTACCACATCTTAAATATTCACCAGATTTATCAAAAGCTAATAAAGCGTTCGTTGCATCTAAAAGTTAAGCTGACAATGACCGGTCAATGTGTTACGATGATCCGTAAGAGTAGTCATGTTATTGAGCCGTTGATTTTGATCCGTGTCTATGATCCAGGTCGCCGAGCTGGAGAAAGGCATGGCTCACTACACCAAGGACAAGCAGAGTTTACAGCAGACCAAGGCCCGGCTCTCCCTTCTGACCAAGAACCACGACGCGCTCACATGGGAGCACGAGGTGCTCGAGCAGCGCTTCGATCAGGTTCGTAGAGGATATTCTATCAATTAAGTAGGCCTTTACGCTTCCGATGAGCTTATGAACCTTCAAACGTTTCATTTGCTTTACCTTTCCTTAAATCTGGAGCATCAATCGATAAAAATCCTTACATTTCAACAGGTTCAGAAGGAACGAGACGAGATCTACGAGAGGTTCGTGGCGGCGATCACTGAAGTCCAACAGAAAGCGAGCATGAAGAGTCTACTGCTGGAGCGAAAGCTGTCCACGCTGGCCGACAGCCTGGAGAAGAAGGAGGCTCAGCTAAACGAAGTGCTGGCCGCGTCCAACCTCGACCCCAATGCTCTGGGCATTGTCAACAGAAAACTGGAGGTGAGCGATCACAGTAACAGAGATGGTAGAGATTCACGACACGCTGCCTGCACCGGTCATTTAGTCGTCGCATTCACAATTCTACTGAGAAATGGGAAACGTTCTTTGTATGAGCGAAGTGATGCGAGTGATACTGCTACCCTCCGGCGGCCTTTTTCTGATCTCGATAAATCTGAACGCGATGCGAGGCGATGGATAGTTATGTGACCTTTCAGCATAGCATTAGGTAGTTCATGAAAAAAACTCAAAGCTCATACACGGGAAGATGACACTTGAGCTTCATTTTCGTGCGACAAGTGAACTTCAATGCTTAATTTCGTAGAATACCTTGATGTGAGCGGGCCGCCCTTTTTCTATGGCGTACAGCCGTACACACTCGATCAAGAATGCATAGGGTAGAGAACCCTTTCCCAGCTACTTTTGTACTGACTGTTGTTCCTATCCATGTGCTTCACTTCTAACCCATGCGTGCATTCCTATCCCCATGTGTCGGTGCATATCCATTGTGTCGCGCCAGCACATTATTTTGCTGTTGCAGGAGATGCTGGACGCCAAAAATAACGCCATCAAGGACATGCAGTACGAGCTGGCGCGGATGTGTAAGACGCACGCCGACACTGTGGCCACGTACGCAGCTCGGCTCGAGGAGTACGGGGTGCCGCGAGACAACATCGGCTTCGAGCCGCTGCGGCCCTGCCAGGGCAAGAAGCTGGGCCGCGGGCCGGCAGGCCTCGTGTCGGGCGGCCACAACAAGTGAAAACGACATCACACGAGATATTATGTGAAACTGGGCAATGCGCGCATGTCGCAGTGAGCGCTTCCAGACGCCAATAGAAAATTGTGTTGATACGTGCACGCGTTGGTGAAATGTCAGTGTCTTTGAAGTAAAAGTCGATGACTAAATAAAAAAAACGACTGTATTGACCAACGTTCTAGGTTACTCGTATGCACGGATATAATGATCACAGCTCTTGGCAACAGCGGGACTCCAGAACGCAAAAACAACTCGCGAACGACAGATGGAGAAGCCATCGACTGAATTCAGATCGGCTACAAATACGACCTACACGCCGACCCGCTTTTTCACATCGCTCATATCCTGACCGTCCTCCTCACACCTGCTCACCAGGCCCTGGAGCAGCTTCCTGTCCTGGGAGCTCATGAACATGACGAGCACGTCCACCCGCCGCACTTGACTCAGGCCGCGCAGGTGGGAGCCGATCTCTGCGGCCGGCAGCGTCTCGGCCACCCGCAGGATCTCCACCAGAGTGCTCTCCTCCAGCGCCTGTTTGAAGATGCTCGCGTAGTCGCCGGGCGGGATCTGCCGCAGGTACTGACTCCGCAACTCGCCGTGCGTCCTCAGCAGTTTCCAGTCGCGGACGAACTCGTACGAGGACCTGGGCGCCGCCGGCACGGCCATGGCCGGTGTAGCCACGACCTCGGGAGGAGGGGCTTCCTTCGGGTCTGGCTCCGGCGCCTGGTCCACCTTTGGCAAGGACGCCTCTGCACTCGGCTCCTCTGGCGCAGGACATTGCTTTTCCTCTGGCTCACTCGGTTCAGCGGTCCCATTTTGCGTCACGTCGCCATTGACAGATGGTGACTGCCCCGCTTCTTCACCACCAGTTTCAGAAGCAGCTTCAGAATTAACATTGCAGGAGCCATTGATGTAGTTCTCAAGCTCGGCGTCGTTCCCCACCTGCTCGATGTGTATTTTCTTCAGTTGGGTTTTAGATCGCAAGTGCGCAGGCTTTTCTTTGACTGGTGGGGTTTGATCGAGTGGTCTGGACGTTTTGCTACTCGGATCACTGGAGGTGGGGAGATCACTTTTCCTTTTAGTTGTTTTAAGTCGCGCCTGCTTGTCCTCTTCCAGTTTGATCCGCTCCATGCTTCTTTTGGCCTGAGGGTTGTGTGGCTCCAGCTTTAGAACCTTCTGGTAGTCTTCTTTTGCCAACTGGAGCTTCCCCAGCTCCAAACGAGCTGTCCCTCTCCTGAGGTAGCCTTTGATATATCCGGGGTCAAGCGCAACTGCTTTCCCGCAGTCTTCCTCTGCCTTTTCAAAAGAGTTCAGCTTCAAATAGGCCATGCCACGATTGGCAGGAAGAACGTGGTAGTTGGGATCCAGCTTCATGGCAGTGGAATAGTGCGTGATCGCCTTTTCATATTCCTTGTTCTTCAGGCATTCGTTCCCCGCTTCTTTAAGTCTGAGCACCTCCTCCGACGGTTCATTCTCTACTCTCACGGTTCGTTTCTTTCCGTCTCCCTCGGTGGGTGACGGTGCCTTAGGCCTCTTTGAGTCACCAGAGCCTTTAGATTGTGAGCTCTCTGTCGGCTGGGCCCGCTTAGATTGAGATGTAAGTTCCTTATCCTTCTTCTTTATCTGATCAGTCCAGTTTCGGAGGTCGCGCATGTAGCTCTGTACATCCTCCTGGTTGTTTCTGAGATCTTGCTGTAGTTTAATTGGATCCATGGCGTAACTGAAAAAGAAGAAAGACAATAAGAATAAAGCGTGCTAGCACACCCGTTACTGCCCTCAGCTTCTCCGGACCCCGACCAAGTGACGTCTGTTACATTGGCGGTTCGTCACTCCGTTACCATCAGGTCCGCTCCAATCCTTACATTACCTTACCTTACCTTCACAGTGATCGGGAGGGAAAAGGCCACTTGGCCTGGAGATCCCGTTCTCATCTAGCTCCAGGACTAGGACAGTCTGGGCTCTTATGGGTATGGAATGTCATACTTCAGGCTTCTCCAGTGTTCATCCAGCCTGCCCTTGAACTAGTTACCTTTGTTTGTCCGAGCGTGTTAGTCTAAAAATTATGATCCCTCGCCGGCACAGGCTATTTTGCGTGCTTCGACGGCACAAGGGTTGGTACGACCCCCCCCCCCCCCATCGCGTCTGGCCCCTGATCGAGCTAGAGCTTCGCGGAAAAGAACGAGCGTGTTGCCCGTGACGAGAGGAAGCCGATGGGGGTTTTTGGGCGCCCGGACTACAGTGGTCATCGGCGGAGGAAGCCGATGATACCTGATTTTAAGGTCCTAGGTCATCGGTTGACCTTCCAGGTCAGGTCAATGACCCAAAAGTCGGGAAAATCGGGACCTGGTAGAACGTCGTTAAGCGTTGCTGCTGTGGAGTTTTTCGGGGTATTGATCACGAATATCATGTTAGTTTAGATCACAGATGATGTCTTTATGCATTTAGGCCATGTTGGGTCAGGTCAGGTCAGTTCAACCAGTAGGTAGGGGTCCTGCCAGGTATTCGTAGTACGTGTCAACCGCCTCTGGCTCTGACAACTTTGTAACATGTTAAGAAGGCACCAAAACTATTTCGTAAATGTTCAAATGGTTGCTTAATTCGAAATCAGCTCCAAAAACTAGCCTAAAACATGAAAAAACTCGAAAAAAATGGACCGAGGTCATCAAAGGTCAATGACCTGACCTGACCTTCAGGTGACCTTAACACCCACCCTAACGCATGGGAGCAGCATCAAATCACATATTTGAACGCTTGAAACCACGAAAAGACTGCAAACGCGCGGCTAATGCGAGGCGACATACGCCGAATCGCGATTCCGGCCAAACATGGTCTCAGGAAATAGGTCAAAGGTCAAAGGTCATTTGGGTCAGGGTCATTAAATTTTCAGGGTAGGTGTTAAATTGATGAACGTGAGGGTACTGAAAGTTTCGTCGCAATCAATCGCTATGAAAGTTATTTGCGAAAAACCTTAGGGGGGTTGCACCAGCACACAGCACAGGGGGGTGGCCCCCTCCTGTGCCAGCGAGGGTTATATATGTCTGGTCTTCATTGAGGTAGCGGTATAGCGAAACAAGCTTTCCGGTGTTTATCAGCGCCATCCATAATAATCAAACGCCGCTGGCCTTTGAGTAACAGTTTTGCCCACCAGTTCCAGGCCACAGCTCCTCACCCTCAGCCTGCTGTTTCCAGAGCAAGTAACCCATCCCAGCCCACCAGTTACCCGTCCCACTGTCCCAGCCCACCAGTCCCGCACCTCAGCTTGCCGTCAATCATCCCAGCCTGCCAGTTCCTCATCCCAGCCTGGCAAGCACTGTGGCCTTAGTTGGCGATTCACTGGAATGCCGGTTAAACCCACCCAAACAGGCTGTCTCCAGGTGGGTGGCTTAGTTGGTACCTGCCTTAGTACTTCATCTACACAATTACTGCAAAAATTATGTAATGACACAGTATTGTTACTAAACACGAGTTTCTCTATAGAATCATCATCATCATCATCATTTATTTCGTATGACCTCCGCATGTCCACGGCTTTTCGGGTCAAGTGTCAAGTTACAGTAAGAACATAAAAACACACAGCAGTTACACTTTAAAGATGTAGAGATATGATAAAGTGAATAAAATTGAAGTTGTACGACATTGTCCTGACGCGAAAATACCATTAGCGCCTACCGATAAAATTATGTCCTGGCCTCCCTGTCCACAGCATGCACCTTGTTCCATGTTGAAACAGCTCTATATGGGAAAGACCGCCTAGCAAGCTCCGTATGTACACGAGGCAGCTGAAGAGCGCCAGCTAGCGACGCGCGAGTTTCTCTTTCGGAGATCACTGCTCTGTATGCGATCTGATCGCGGAGTGAGTCTGGTGCGTGGGAGCTGGACAGAGTACGGTACAACATGGCGACGTCTCTCTCCGTGATGAGCTGCTCTACTGCGGGCCAGTTCATGTCGGTCAGATGCGGTGTTATATGATCGGAGCGGCGCAAATGATGTCTATTGTCAGAATGATGTCTATATTATAGGAATTAACTAATGTCTGAACTGGGACAGGTGGGCAGTGTGACCAGTTTAGGCTCGACTCGAGCACAATTGATGCCAAGTTTTGCAGTTCGTTTCAATTAGCTGAATGTGCTCAAACCAAGGGAAACTGATACGGGATACCCTCCATTGAATCATGCTGTTTCAAGCACATAAAATTAGAGATGTCTACGTAATGAAGACCTACTATTCTTTTATTTCTATGTACGATTCTGATTCGAAGTCCTCATCCTGGGACCGGTCGACCAACGTGACTTGCTGGCGACTGCAAGGCCGTATCAGTAGGCGGAACTATGGTCAAGCGTACCCATTTTCGGGAACGCATTTTCGTTCCCATGTTTGGGAACGATAAACCCAAATATGGGAACGCCATGCAGGCATTATTTAAAACAAGAAAAAGAACCGTTAAATGACGTTAAAAAAATATAAAACGATCGTGAACCGGTTGATATTTGTCCCAATATTGTTGGGAAAGAGTTTGATATTGTAAGGCCCATCGTAGTTTCAAATCGTTCCCCTATTTCTAAAGCAGTCCATCATCCGGGCCGCGAGCCCAAATTTGGGAACGCTCTCGTACACTGGCGCTGCAAGCGTTCCTTATTATGGGAACGGCGTACCCAAAATTGGGAACGATTTCACCGACGCCTTTCAGGGGCTCTTTTCATTAACAAGCATCACGTCCAACGCAGCAAATTATTGTTAACGCAACAATCATCAGATGACCTTTCCGGCAAGACCGTCGCATGTTTCGCCCGGTCTTCTGCGCTTTTATTCCAGTCGATCTCGCAGCGGGCACGCCCCCCTCTGCAGGATTACGTAATTCACAACGCTCAGCGATGTTCAACAAGGTCTCCCATACCTATATCCACCGTCCGCGCCGAAGGTGGAGACATGTCAAGCACCTGTCTGTTTATCACCGATAGTTGACGAGCACAAGGAAGTATCCAAAAATGGGAACGCTGAATATGTTACACCCTCAAAACACCTAGTCCCAATGAAAATATAGTTTTTTCCTTTCTTAATGAGTGTAAGTGGCAAAAGGCCTGGGAGGATGGGCACGAAGAATGATCGAAATCAGCTTATAAATTATAAATAAGCCACACAGAGCGATCTATATAAGAGAAATTTCCCCAAAACGATCATGCTTAGAACACGGAAGACAAAAACCACGCTCATGACGCTCCTTATAAAACAACGCTAAACAGCTAGCATCCAAATAAAATATGTCTTTCCGGGCTGATAAAATACAGCTGAATAATTTTAAACCACTGAAACTGAGTTTACAACAGTTCTTCGGTAAAATCACTGGACGCGGTCGTGCGCCCCGACACCAAAAGTCAACAATATTACCTCGGGACTGTCCGCGTGTTCGCTTGCATATGTCAGCATCTGGTGTCGCTAGTATGAAACTTCATAACCCGGCAAAAATAATTATACTTGACCTCAAAATGTAAAAAACGCTTCATTTTCCTTAAAATTGCATGTTAAATGTAGTACAACCGTTTTCACCATTCCGTCATTTCAAAAAATCATTAAAAATACCATTCGACGGTCAATGTCCTTGTTCAACTGTCAGATTACAGATAATTTTATAGAGACTTAGCAGATACTTAAATTAGCGTGCACTTTTTTGAGACGTGATGCACTCATGAGTTCAAGTTTTAGTGGGCGAACGGCCGAAAAATTACCTTCCGTTCTCATAAATGGGAACGCCCGTTCCCATATTTGGGAACTCCGTTCCCAAAAATGGGAACATTCCTATATTTGGGTACTCATGACCATAGTTCCACCTACTGGTATAAGGCGACTGGCGAGTACCTATATCAGTCCCACGCACAAGGGGGAAAAGCTCAAAAAATTGAGCGCTCAAAAAATTGAGCGGGCCCCATTATGAAGGAATAGGCGAAACGATGGTATTTTACAATGCCTTTAGCGTCACACTACGGCAAATATCGTATCCAAATAAGGTATCAATGACAAGAGAGAGCAACAAGGTTTCTTCTCGAACACTCGCCGTGATAATTTATATCGGTGTTTTTGGAAAGAAAATGCCCTAAAGACGCTCAACTTTTTGAGCGCCACTTGTCGTTCGGGACCGCGATACTCAATAAATTGAGCGCCACGACAGAAGACAGTCAGCTGGCGCTCAAAAAATTGAGTGCCGGCCAGCATCTACACTCAATTTTTTTAGCGTTCTCCGTGACAGGTGAAGCCGGTACTGGCTGCCATTTTTGATGTTATGTTCGTTGAAATACGTCAAACTGAGTTGAAACAGAAATGCAGGAAGTTGAATGCTACGTGGTACCTAAACTTTTCACAAACCCATGGCATCATGTCACATTTTCCGCTAGTAGTTTTATCGGTCTTTCGGATTCGGCACACCTCAAATAATTATATAAGGCTTGAATAATCCGTATGAATACTGTAATTGATATTCTCTGACTGTACTGGGAGAAGGGAATACGTGAATACAGAGATATCCATCCACCCTTGAATATTGGAGAATTATAGCAGGAAAAACTGTATTGCCATGGTTACAACTTACAAGGCCATCGGCCGCAAACAAACAAAAATACTATACAATGTGGGTTAGATTCACAAACATCATCAAGTGTGGAACACAAAGACGAGCAAAACAACATCACATTATCGCATGCCAGCCCGACCACATTGGAACCGGGTCCGGGTGACCTGCGACCGGAACCTGTGTCTTGCCAGCATACATCACAAAAGCAGGAGGCAGTGTCGTACTGCTTTGATCCCAAATATGCCATATAACAAATGATATAAACGACCTAAGCTCGGACTAAGCTTATCATTATCAAATCCTTAACATGTAAAAGACGAATGGAAACATCGAGTCTCAGACCAGCAGTAGCAACGATCACAGTAGCAACATCACAAAGAACACGCGGCATTATCAGACAGCCGTTTTGTTATCGGGCTACAGGCGGCGACGGCGTGGTTGCAGACCAGCTGCGAGGTAGCGGCGTGCGGGCAAAAGGCGCGGGCACACCTCCATGTGGCCGTGCGGACAGTGCGCGGTCGGCGTCGCATAGTGGGCGGCATCGGGCTGTCCCGGGCCGTCGAAGCCGCACAGGTTGTCGGCGCATGTGGGCGCGCGCGGTCACCACGGCCAGCTGCTCACCGCCAGCACAGACTGCGCAGCGTCGCCGCTCCGCCGGCCAGAACACGCAGACAACCCTTCTTGCAGTCGCACAACACGTAGCCAAACTCATTCACCTGCTCCACCATGTTGTTGATGTCACCGAGTCGTTCGAGTTGTGGCTCGTGCCGTCGAGCATGACCTGCCCGATCGGACACGGGTCAGCGGCTTCTGCTCCAGCGAAGTCTTCATCTTAGTGACGTCTTGCTGATCTCCACAAAGGCTGAGCAGATGACCTTACCCACAGAGACGGCCGACGTCCTCGCCAGCGACCGCTTGGTTGTGCAGACCTGCCAGATAAAGAAAAGCTGTTTGGTGATCTCAAACGATTTTTTTCTTTATGCAGTGGAACAAAACGGAAAATATGTCATACAACAGGAACTAAAAAAAAGATGCAGCCTAGGTCGTCTAAGAAATGGGTGCAACATTGATAAAATTCTTCATTGAATGAATTCTGCAAATGCTTTTGATAAACCAAATGTGTGGTGATTATAAGGAGACCACTTCACTATAAAATTGCTCAGGGTTCCCTATCTGGACCTGTCAAAAAATCCTGACTGCACACTAACAATGAGCATTAAATCAAAAACCTCTACCAGGTACCTAGGGATAATTAAATTCTGATTCAGGAAAATATTTCACATCATACAAATAAAAACCTTTACTATATTGAAACTGAAAATGTGATGCTGATCCAGTGACCTAAGGGTCTCGAAGTATAATAATGAATTAATCGATTATAAATTTGGTGGTGACTGCCGACTGGCGTCTGGCGGCCTAGACCTTGAGGCTTGAAAGTGGCCTTCCTTTTCCGTTGACTCCGATCCTCCAGATGGAAATGATATAAAGGATCATTTTTATCTTATTTCATATGAGCGAGCCAGTCAGCAAAGTGGCTATCCTGTTTCAGCATTCACCCACACAATAGTTGACTGTCAGTCTGTCATGCTGTCAGTGTTGTGAAGTAATGAAGGAGTTGAGTTTTGTTGATTATAAATTGTGATGTTATGTAAAGGACTGGAAAATGAATGTGAAAACTATGGAAACATATTGGCAGAGTATTGTCACTTACTATCAGGACATATGGATAGAGAATACATTCAAATTAATAAGAAATGCCAAATATCAAGGTACTCAATCACTGATAGCAGTGGACTATCATATGTTTTAATGTCAATTATATGAAAGTTAAGACTGAAACTACCTTTTACCTCATCATAACTAATGAAAAATTGTGTGAAGAAAACATTCACAGCCTCTTTAAAGCACTTAGACCACTAAAAAACAAAAATTTTTACGTAAATATGTTGTGTCTCCTTCCTTCAAAACATCATATCGGATGGCGCCACTTTCGTCGACAGTTACTTATCTGCACGCAAGTCGAGGAAAACGTGAATTGATTGACGTTTACGTGTTTCCAAATTTAAAATCACAGCATATTCAAACTTTTCAGTGTACCTTTTAACATCTAAGTACAACTAAAACGATAAAAACTTACCCTCAACACAAGGACGACGACAACCACGCGACCGGAGACGTCGCGACGAAATAAACAAACGGCGCCGCCAAATGAAAAATATTCTCCGATATGGGTAATGTGAAATTGAATCGCAATCATTTTGGGTAGTATGAAAAATGCTCTTTCCAACAGAACCCTAGTAAAAAACGTAAATGGACAAAAAATAACTGTTATTTCGACATAAATATTGGTTTTTTTTTAAGTCATCCTGGTATGCCGTAAGATTTCGACCTATAAATTGGTGTTCCCCCAATCATTGAAGCTTGAGCAGTGAAAAATATGAAAGCCTAATCTGTTTTGCATCATTAGTGATTCTCTTAGGGTGTTGCCATTTCTCCCTAGGTGTTGCGAGTTGCTTTTGCAAAACGTGTTCCTGAAACGGCTCAATTTTTTGAGCCCTCAGCATTACGCCTATGGGAGCCTCTGACGTCACACGCTCAATATTTTGAGCGCTCAATAATTTGAGCTTTTCCCCCTTGTGCGTGGGACTGATATCTTAACACAGCCAGTAGGTACCTTTGTTTGAACGGCTGACTGCATGCACATACTTCAAAGAGCTTACCCAAAGAGGCAGAAGAAATTCTTTTAAAAATTATTCGATCAATAAGTCAGGGTACTCCTAACTACAAGCAAAAACTACCACATAGGTATCTTTCTCCAAATTGCCGGAGAATTGTTTATGAGCTATGCTACATAAGTGGCGCATCTCTGTTCTTTTGCGATAGGTCGATGCTCTCGAATGCTCATGTTGATTCCTGTTTCTGCTATTGCAGCTCAAGATTTTGACCCTTTTTGGCTGATTGAGTCTGTTTAGGGTGAGAATTTGAGCCAATGTTTGCGTTTGAGGCAATTTTCATTAAAAAATAGATTAATATTTGCCTATTTATTGTAAGAAATAGCTATCATTTGTTCTTGACGTCATTTGATTAGCTAGGACTTCTTGTCACAGATATGTCATTTGTGCCCTGCTGAACAGGAAAAATCAAAGGAAGGCAATCATGAAGAGTTGTGAAAATTACACTGGTTTTGTTTTTGGTGAATAAACTTGTTCCGGACATTTCCGGCACGCTCGAATAAGGTGCCAGGGGTGCAAAATCTGTATTTCAAGGCAAGGCAAGGTTTTCGGATTTCTTTGGATTCATTTGATGTAATACTAGACAAGTCAGGTGTATTGGCCAATGCGAACTGAAACTTAAATTCACTTTTCTCGCGGCCATTGGCAGCATCTGTTGAGAAATCAGAATCAGAATAACCTCAGGTTAGTTTGAGTTCAATTGAATGCTTTGTTAGTAATCATTTTTTTATTGACACATTATATGAGGCTTCAGCTTCTTTCAGTATTTGCTAATCCTAAGTTTGTCCAATGTGATAAATATGCTACCTATATTGATATCATGGAAAACAGCTTTCAGGTGTGCCAATTACATCTCAGTTCCTACCTACCTACCACACATTGGAACACATGGCATATTTTCTTATCCCAACACCTGCCATGCAAAGGCAAAAACTACTATGTGAGGTCAGAGTCTGACCCTGCAGAACATAGCAGTTTTTGCCTTTGCACGGCGCAGCGCAGTGCATTGAGCTGTGTGCTAGGAGCAGAAAATATGTAATGCACCTATTCCAGTGTTAGGTGCTGAGATCAAGATGTGATTTCCATGTGCAAAAGTTTTGCTTTAGCCTTTGTATAATTACCTTCCTTCCATACTTTGACTTTGAAAATCAGGTTAGGTTTCAAAGCATTAGCAGATGCTCTTGAGTCTTGGTCCTCATCATGATAAGCTAACTGGACCCTGTTTCACAGCATGTTGGTAGCTGCTGCTAGCATTTACTTAAGCTGCTAGCTAGCACCTAGCAAGTAGCTGCTACTAGCTGCTACATTTCTATTGAAATATCAACAAATTTCATTGCAAGAATCTGAGCTTGTTGATGTTTCCATAGAAACAAAAAGTGCTAATGCACTAGTAGGTATCCATTAGCAGCACCAGCATGCATCCTATGAGACAGGGCTCTGATCTCATCAGCTTTGTGTAGTGAATTGGCATAGGCTATGTTGCAGTTGGTAGTTGCCATGAGTCTGTGCCAGTGCCACCAGAAAACATGAGAAAGCTCTAGTAAGCTCCAGATTCCAGAATTACCCAGTCAGCATTCCAGCACCACCAGAAATTACCAGCCAGCTGTTGGCTGGTGACCAGAAACCAGCAGCAACCTCCAGTCATTTGAGAGGTCCACATTAGCTGGAGGCTCTGTTCTACAAGTATGGTTGTTCACATGGAATATTTATCAATCTAAACACAGGACTTTCTACAGTTCTTTAAATGCAAGGAGAGTCATTTACAGAAATTTGGAAAGCTTTTTTAATAAAACTGACAAGTTATTTAATATTTTGATTTTGAAGAGCAGATCATCATCATTCTTTGTGTCCCATACATCAATCACCAGAAATCTCCAGAAATCATTGCAGTGTCTCATGTAAAACTGCCTAAGTAGACTAAGAAGTAGAGCCACAAGTCGTTTTTTTTTTTTTACTGTAGGCTCTGTAACAGGCCATATGACACTGAAATTTGTGGTAGTATCTACCATTAAAGCAAGGACATTGAAAGTGTCAAGAAGAGGGACACAGGTGTGAGCTCACATCTTAACCATTTCTCATAGAATGCATTAATTGTAATTTGGTGGCTGGCATCCACTCTGAAACCTATTTTTAGCACAACCAGCCAAGTCATTGCTGCTAGCAGGGTTAAAGTTAAAGTTGGATGCCCCTTACTTTCCATTTTGATGGTTGTATATTTATCCATGTATTATCCATGTTTTACTCATGTATTATGTGGTAGATATCATGTATATTTATCAGTTTTGTTTTAAAAGTCTTCCGGAGAGGCATAGGCAAGAATGACCTCTCCGGTCAGTAATAGTCCTTGAGGAAGTCTATAGCTCGTCCCCCTGCCCAGCAGACGGCAGCCATGGAGCCTACTGACTGGTCGCAGCGGCTGCGTAAGAGGACGCAGCGGCCGACGGAGCCGGCCGGCCGGGCGGACGCGACGCCGGGCCCGGCCAAACGGCGCCGCACCAGCGCCGAGCGCCGCCGCCGGGAACGCCACGCGCAGCCGCAGCAGCAGCAGCAGGTGGCGCCGTCAGAGCCCGTGGTGACGCCGCACATCAACGCACTGCCGGAGGAGGTGCTGCTCTACCTGCTGTCCCACCTGAACGTGCCCGAGCGTGTTCGAGTCAGGGCAGGTGAGTCTGTCGCCCGTCCGAGTCAGGGCAGGTGAGTTCGGCCGGGTACTAGTCAGGGCAGGTGAGCTCTGCCTGGTACTAGTTAGGGCGGGTGAGCTCCGTCCTCCGTCCGAGTCAGGGCAGGTGAGTCTGTCGCCCGTCCGAGTCAGGGCAGGTGAGTCTGTCGCCCGTCCGAGTCAGGGCAGGTGAGTCTGTCGCCCGTCCGAGTCAGGGCAGGTGAGTCTGTCGCCCGTCCGAGTCAGGGCAGGTGAGTCTGTCGCCCGTCCGAGTCAGGGCAGGTGAGTCTGTCGCCCGTCCGAGTCAGGGCAGGTGAGTCTGTCGCCTGTCCGAGTCAGGGCAGGTGAGTCTGTCGCCCGTCCGAGTCAGGGCAGGTGAGTCTGTCGCCCGTCCGAGTCAGGGCAGGTGATTCTATCGCCCGTCCGAGTCAGGGCAGGTGAGTCTATCGCCCGGTACCAGCCAGGGCAGGTGAGTCTATCGCCCGTCCGAGTCAGGGCAGGTGAGTTCGGCCGAGTACTTACCCTGGTCGGAAGAGTGAGCGGGGCCGAGTGAAGGTCAGGGCGGGTGAGTTCGGCCTGGTGCAAATCAGGGCGGGTGTTGCATTGAATATTTATGTGAACCGTGTCCACAGTGTGATCCGTCTCCGTTGTGTGACTTGTGTGACCCGTAACCGCAGGGCGCATTGTGACCCGTGTGACCCGTTTGTCGGCAGTGTGCCGTCGCTGGCGGGAGCTGTGCCAGCTCAGTCTCCGCTCGGTACGACACATCAACCTGAACCGCTACTTCGGGCCGCTGAACGTGCAGTGCCGGCCGGCGCTGACCGACCAGCGCTTCAAGCTGGTGCTGCAGCTGCTGCCCAACCTGCAGAAGCTGGAACTGGGACCTGCCGGCGCGAGGCTCTCCAGGAATGGAATACTCAGCATCGGTGAGACGAGACCGGAGCTCGGTGCGGGACCGACTCCGCTGGGGGACGTGGTCCGGGTGATCTGGCCCGAGGAAATGGGAGCATACAGGGGATGGTCTGTTGTGGAGAAAAGGACACCTTTGAATATTCATCATTGGTGAATAACACACAACACCATTAAGAGTCTGAACATGCAACCGATGACTGACATTGTAAACGCACAATGCACAGTTATCATTGACATATTCATACAGTACTTTCGTTTGATGGACAGTTTCTGCCTGTTAGAACGTTCTAAAAGTGTCACGTTTTAAAATGACTTTCATTACGATAAAAACAATTGCACTCTGTTGCGACCACTAAAAATATGACGATGTTGTATTTTGTGTGTATTTCTGAAACCAGTATAACGCCTTTTGGGGCGACTAACGGAGCGAGCGAGAGGGTGAGCCTTGCACGTGCGAAATTTCGACGAGGTACCTCCAGCTGACTTGTGCACGGCACCCTACTAACCGGTCTCTAGCGATGTGCCAAATTTGAGCACAATCGGCCCAGCCGTTCTCGAGATCTGGAAGCGGTACCTTGCACGTGCGCACGTGCAAAATGGGTCCCAACTGACTTGTGCACGGCACCCTACTAACCGGTCCCTAACCATGTGCCAAATTTGAGCGCAATCGGTCCAGCCGTTCTCGAGATCTGGAATCGACCCCTGCACGTGCGCACGTGCAGCAGCACCCCAGCTCTGGCACATGGATATGCATTGCCTAGTGGGTGCCTACCTACATGCCAACTTTCAGCGCAATCGGCCAAGTAGTTACCGAGATATTGCAACAATGTCAAAAGTGACACCTCTTCGTTTTGCACGTGGCACGTGCATAAGGGGTCACCCACATGCATCGGGAATAGCCCAATACTTGGTAGAAGGAATGAAGCTACCTTACAAAAATTACCGCATGTAAATCGGTCAAGTGGTTGCTGAGATATAAGCGTCGCAGAATCGTAACCACGGCCGGCCGGCCGCTCATACTCAGAAATTTCCGTTATTCCACGTAAGACTCCGCTCGCTTCGCTCGCTCCGTAATCAAGGTGTTTGTCAAGCTGCGTGTGTTGGCTGTACGTTACCGCTGGTCTGACCCCTCTGGACCCTGTGCCCCGCCAGGGAAGCTGTGCCCACGCCTTATCGACCTGGACATCAGCTGCCTGAGGATGTCGTTCCGGTTTTTGGAGAACCTCTGCCGCAACTGTCCCCGTCTGCAGCGCATCAACGTACCGCAGTTCAACTTCAAGGAGCAGAACCTCGAGGTGCTTCTCAAGTGAGTTGGACGGCCGGCCGGCCGGCTGTCACTGAGAAGCCTAACAGGCGCCCATTGGCCGGGCCTACGTCTGTCTGGCGCAGCGGTGTGACCTTCGGGGACCGATAGTTGCGCTGGTTTTCTGAAACTGTTTTTTAATTTGTGTATTGTGAGTATAATGTATATGTTATGACAAATCAAGCACGGTAATGCAAAATTAATTTCGATTTGATCAGGTCAGCGCTGTTTCATACATACGAAAATAATAATCAGTCATTGAAAGAACTGAGTTGATTTGCCATTGAGTGAGCCTGAAGTACATAAAGCTGCTGATAAATTTGTTTTTTTCATAAAGGCTTCATTATCGTTTCAAGTTTTAAGTCTGAGAAAAATAGTTTACCTTGACCAATGATTGCGCAGGCCCTACGTGTGCCGATTGTGACGTGTGCGTTTCTGTCCGCCCGTCGCCAGGTACCTGGGCGAGCTGCGTACCCTGGAGTTGGTCTCCACGGGCGTCACGGGCGACTGCTTCAGCCTGCTGCCGGCCTCGGTGCGCAAGGTGACGCTGCGCTCCTGCCCGCGCATCCGCGAGCACAACTTCTGCCTGGTGGGCGACCGGTGTCCGCAGCTGGAGGAGCTCTGCCTCAGCAAGACGCGCGTCACCTCGCACGACATCAAACACATCGCCACCAGGTGGGGTGCCGGCGCGGCCGGGACGGCGGATGGCCTGTGGGGAGGGGAGGGGAGAGTACAGACCTGCTGTGGTTGGGTGTCCTGCGTGTGAAGTGAGGGGAGGGCATGATGAGAATCTCTTGGCGAGGTTTGACGATGACATTTTGTGAACAGTTTCACCGAGCCTTGCATCGTGGCTTAATTGTTCACCATCGACCTGTGATAACTTATTGCTGACCGCTGGCCGCTGACTACTCACCATGATTAACCACTGGGCACGAACAGGCTGGCCACATCTCACCATGACTGACGACTTCACAGTTTACGCTGACCTGGGAGTGATTATGCAATTCATATCAGCGTGAAATAGTTTAGTGTCGAGCTGTACTTAAGCTTAAAGACCTTCTTCCACTGACGTATTCTGACGTCCATCCCGCTGCAGGTGTCCCCAGCTGCGGCACCTGGACATCACCGGCTGTAACCTGGTGCACCCGGAGGAGTTCCTCGAGCTGCTGCCCAACCTCACCTCGCTATCGGCCGGCGCGTGCGCCAACGTCAACAAGAACTCGCTGCGCGCCCTGGCCACCTTCTGCACCAAACTGGAGCGACTCAACCTCAGAGGTATAGTCGACTACAGAATGATGTTCCACTCCTCAGAAGCTATCAGTTGACCGGAGCGCTAAGTTGTGTCGTTTATCACGCAATCAAGCGTGTCGATTGTGAGCATTGGGACAAAGCTATAATTTGTGAACTCAAACCGTGTGATGCGGCACAGCCTACCACTCCAGGCAAATAATTGCCTGTGAAAAGTGGAACATCACTCTGTAGTCGACTAACTATACGCCGGCCTCAGAGGGCAACGGGGAAAAGGCGTATTGTGTCGAGAAAAGTGCTGCTTTTGTTGATGTTTGATGTTGTCGCTCATTTTGAAATCCGAAGGCCACCGTTCGGTCCTGCTGACTCTGACGTCTGATGTTTATGTGTTTACTGTCGCGTGCTGCAGCGTGCCATCCCATGGCCTGACGGATCCTCATCTGACGCTCCGTGTATCTGTGTCCGTCAGGCGGTGCGTCGTACCTCAGCATGCCGTATTGCAGACTGACTGACCCCTATCTAACGCTCCCTATATGTGTCTCTCTGTCCCGTCAGGCAGGGCCTCGTACCACAGCGTGCCGTCCTACGGTCTGACGGATCCCACTGACGGGTCCCCATCTGACACTGCGTCTGTCCCGTCAGGCGGCGCCTCGTACCACAGCGTGCCGTCGTACGGGAGACAGGTTCCCCATTTGACGCTCTGTATCCGTACCTGTCCGTCAGGCGGCGCGTCGTACCACAGTCAACCGTTCTACGGGCTGACGGATCCCACTGACGCTCTCCGTATGTGTCTGTATCTGTGTTCATCAGGTGGTGCGTCGTACCGCAGCATGCTGTATTACAGACTGACTGATCCCCTATCTAACGCTCCCTATATGTGTCTCTCTGTCCCGTCAGGCGGCGCGTCGTACCGCAGCGTGCCGTCATACGGTCTGACGGACCCCTAACTAACGCTCCCTACATGTGTCTCTCTGTCCCGTCAGGCGGGGCCTCGTACCGCAGCGTGCCGTCCTCCATCTGACACTCCGTTTGCGTCCCTCAGGCGGGGCGTCGTACCGCAGCGTGCCCTCCTACGGTCTGCAGCTGCTGCACCGACTGCCGCAGCTGCACTGGCTCGACCTCAGCTATCAGAGCGAGGTCTCGGACGACGTCCTGCGCAGCCTGGCGCGCGCGCCGCGCCTGGCCACCGTGCTACTGCGAGAGAACTACAGCAGCTATAGCGCCCGTTCGCCATTCACCGAGAAGGGACTCATTGAGTGAGTACGGGCGGGTCAGCTCGGCAGTCACTGTAGTGGGGCCGCTGTATGCTTTGATAGGGTGTCCGGGAGGTCCTCGGGTGGCGTTTCAGCTCAGCGGATGAGTACCGACTGTGGAGCGTTTCACTGGAAACATTTCGTTGTTGTCTGTAAATTTGGTGGGGGGTTAGTGAAATGCCGCCTGGCCGCACCAGGCAGCCCGTTCTGGGCGTCCTATCAGGACATCCAGCGGTCATCTCTGAGTCCGACTGGCCGCTGCTGTTCCTGAGAGCCCAGATCAACGGTACACTTCTTTCGTGTCCAGAGCGCAGCTGTTCAGTCCTTTGGTGTGTCGTCAGCTTCAAAAAGCCTCATTTGCCAAAGTGGAAGTTCATGGAAGTTCTTCCATTGTAATCATTTGCGTTCTGGCAAGCGACGGGAGTCTCGTCCTCAAGGGTTGGTTTCGTACGTTTAGCCCTGGGGCGAATCGAACCCGGACTCTGGACCGGAAGTCATGCTCAACCAACTGAGCAATAGGACTGCATTTTAGTTTAAGCAATCCTGTATAATTGTAGAGCAAAACTAATTACTAAACATTCCTAGCTTATCATCTGTCAAAAATATTCGATTAGAATGTAATTTTATCAACACATTTGTTTCATTGGATTCATTCTATTTTGGTCTAATGTGACCATTGGAGGGCCATGGGATGATAGGGTATGGTGTAGACATTGGACTGAACCGACTACCTTGACGGAACCGCTCGATAGCCTAGGTGGGCTGTCACCAGTCACCCCCGAAAGGTTGTACCCCATGGGTGGTATCAGTGGTTTAGCTCGCCTCGTCCAGTTAGGGGTGACCATCACCCCGGACAAAGTAGTGTGTACAGTAGTGCGCATATGCTGCTGGTCTTGAGCAGAAGTACATAGGACGGATGATCTACACATTACCTTCACTTTTAGTGTGGCCTAAGAGCGTGTCGAGGGTAGCCACGGTCGTTCATTGCTTTTAGTCCAAGAAGAGCCGGACGGCACCTCGAAAGTGAATCAGCCGTGGTTAGCGATTGTTACCACATACCACATTCATAACCTTGTATATGGACGACCTTTAGCTGTCGGTCTCGAGTGTTGTGCGTTAATTCACCCGACTTTATTTGTTTTTAATTGTGGGGCCTTCATTACAAGTGATGTTACCGCTAATCGACTCAAGTTGATGTACCTAAATGTAGCTGTTGTGTACCTAAATGAATAAAGTTCAGGTGCTTGTGTTTTAGATCTAATGATCTTTTTTACCACTTAATATTTTGCAATGGTTATATCGCAATGTCTTAATGTCAATTTCTTTGTGATATAGGTACAACGCTGCTACAATTATTTGCATTTATTATTGGCAGAAAATGTAATGAACTGAAGTGTGAGACTAATGCACAAAGGCAAAGTCTTAGGTACAGTCCCCTTTACCACTGCTTATTCAGACCAATAATCGTGGCGAATACTCCGAAGCTTGTTATTTTGTCACTTTCGTCACGCCATATTCTATTTGTCATGACGCCGCCATCCTCTTCGCTACTGTGACCCGTTTTTGACGGCCCTCCTGTTCTGGTACTGTGCCCCGCCGCTGACCGCCCCCCCCCCCCCCCCCCCCGCCCCCCGCCGGCAGACTGGCCGTCTCGTGCCGCTCGCTCACCTCACTGGACGTCAGTCACGTGCAGGGCGTCACGCGCCACCTGTACGACTCGCTGGTGAGCGCCCTGCCGGCCACCCGCCGACTCTCGCTGGTTGTCGGCAACACGGACCTGGAGGGTCTGGTCGGCACCGACCAGGCCGCCGCCGGCACCGTGGTGCTCTGCCAGGGCAGCCCCGCGGCGCTCGACTACCCGCACGTGATGCGTGACGACCCTTGGAGTGACGACTCGGAGTCCGAGGGACCCGACGAGGAGCGCTTTGCCGATGTGTTCATCGACTGGCTGTGGCTGAATAACGCGCTGTGGGCCGTCTGAGGGGCCGGAGACGGCGCGCGCTGAAGGACTCCTGTGGCGGCCTCTGGGTCAGCGCGGAGGAACCCCACAGAGGCCGCCAGGGCTCAGCGGCTCGGCTCTGTGGTATCCAGCGATGTAGCGGCGCGGGCCAGCAGTGCGCCGCGAGTGAGTGAGTCGGCAGGGACTATATATACGGACACAGACACGCGAGAGGACGGCTCACGGCTACCGTGGTATCCCACACGGGTGGACAGTCGCGTCAGGGCGCCGCCCGCTCACAGGGCAGGCCCGCCCTAGTGCGGAGACGAGCCGTCCTATGAGACCGGCGGCAGGCGCGCCCCGGCCACCACCAACCGCCACAGTGGGTAGGTGTGGCGGTCAGTCCTGTGACGGTAAGACCTACCCCGCCTCCGGGGTGATCTGTGGATGCGCTATGTTCCGAACACGCGGGGCGTGTGAGAGTTTGTTTTCTCGTTGGTGTGCGTTTGTGAAACGCTCTCCGCGCTTCACACGCGATTTTATCTGTGGCTGGTCGGGAGCGCTCATTGGTGTGATGCATTTACGTTCGTCATAATGTGCCGGAGTGCGCATAGGCTTTCCTTTTTGTGTGCGTGTGGGCACGTGTATATAGGTGCGGGAGTTTGTTCTGTTGACGGTCAATCCAGATAGTCTTTGTCTATTATAATCGCGCTGGCTGGCGGCTGTGTGTCCCCCGGCGCGGTGAATTGTGTGCGTTGCGCTGTGGCGCCGTGATTGGACAGTCGGGCGCTCTGTCTGACGCGGGACGCGCCGCCAGTGGCCGGGCCGGGCAGCTGGTGATGAGTGCTCGGCGTGTGTGTGATCAGAGAGTTAGCTCAGCGACAGGCGTCCCCCGCCCAGGAGCGGAACGGCCTCCCTCGGCCGGCACGTATCGCTGTATGAAATATCAGAGCGGCGCATTTATGACCAGTCTTTGTGCTTACAGTGAGGTCTCCCACCGCCACGCTCGCATATTAAGACTTCAAAAGAGCATCTGTTGAGTTGTTTTATGACATTTTGTTACGTAAAATAAAGTTTCTGCAGTTCCTCGTTGCTCCTTTTTGCTTTTAGGTCGCGCAAGGGCAGCGCTTTGCGGAGAGCGCTACGGAATGAAAGTCGATTGCCTAAATTGGGGAGAGGGTGGGTGATTCTCGCGTTGAGGGTACGGCTGGAACAGTGAAAATTGGTCTCGGACGCCTCGCAAAAGTCCTGTGGCCCCACCCCAGCACATGCAAAGTTTACCTTCACAGATCACCAAGGAGGGGAAGAACACTTGACCACATCCGAATTTAGACGGCGAAAGTTTGCGCGTCCTACGTAAGATCATGCTTGTACCAATGACGGATATTTTGACCGCAGGTCACCAGGTCAAGGTACCCATGACCCTAAACAAGTTAACGGTCGTGTCGATCATACAGCTTAATTCCTAGACTTGAAACTTTCTTGACTGCATGAGTATGAGCGCCATCACTTCTACTTTTTCTTCTTCTTTTTTGTACAATCGTGGCTTTGGGTTATATGAGGTTTGTGGCTTCACCATAATATGACAAAGGTAATGGGAAAATGTACCTAAATGTCCTCAGCTTTTAGCAATTTGCCAAAAACACGGGTTTCGGGCTACACTGGGTGAAAAATGTTTAAAGCAAAATAGTTGTCTTCATTGAGCTGCCTTGCCCACTGGTTTGGTTTCACTGGTTCACTGGTTTTAAACCCTAGTGAACAGGGCAACTCAATAAGTCGTAATATTTGGTTTTTAATATTTTTTCTTTAGTGTAAACCCGAAACTGAAACGAACCATAAAACGGATAGTTTCGATGTGTGTCTTGGTGTGGCGCAACGACTGAAATGTAACGTAGCCCGGTAGGGTCGGTCGGCTCCTGGCCTGCAGATGAGGTCAAGTCAATGTTTGCATTTGACCTCCTAAGTCCTAGTCTTAGGTCAAAGTTATTACAGAAAACTTTTTTCGTAAAAACTGCTTTTTTTAATCTTTGCCCTCTGGTCAACCTGAGTTCAAATCTGAGAGCAATATTCAGAAAGGGCTTTAAAATGACTATCGAATGCCTTTTCCTGCGACGCTGTAGCTCTATTGGTTCCCGAGTTAATCGTTGGCAGTTTCCAACATTGTTGAAATGGACCTTTGATGACTTCTGGTGACCTGACCTTTGACCTGACCTAAAAAATGTGCGAGGTGTTTCCGGCATTATTTTTTATGCTTTTTCGAATGAATGCCGCTTACTGCATGTCATAGACCCGGGAACAGGGGGGGCAGCGGGGGCGCTTGCCCCCCCAACTTGGGAGCCGAGGGGGCGGCGCCCCCTCAACATTGAGGCAGCGAGAAACGATCTTTCCTCCCTTTTCCGGACTTCTTTCCTTCTTGTTTCCTTCATACATCTAATCATCAACACACGGCATTTTCCTTGCCATCTGAATGGTTTCTGCTGATTGGTACAGTATCGATTTGACAACATCTGCTATTGTCATCCCGCTTTGGTTTAAGCCTGACCTTGGCCATAAGTTTAACAGGCCAGATTTTATAATGGACCATTTTGAGTCAACTTTGAGAAATACATAACGTGCATACAACGGTGGTAAAATCGTTGCTATAGGTATAACACAGTTTACCCGCTCCGGGTGTGAGGGAGGGGAGTAGGGCAATGAGTGCACTGACGTGGCGCCCTCGGAGGGCCGGTATGGGATTAAAGCTCAGTGACACTATAAGGGCTTGTGTGGTGCCTTCGTTTATCGGTAGCACCTTCAAAATCGCCGGCGCAGGGCCCTCAGAGCCGCCGGTAAGGGGCCTTAAGAGTTTAGAGGCACTGGTGTGGGGCCGTCATGCAGGTGCCGGTGTGGGCACTCAGAGGTGCTAGTGTGATTCTCTCAGAGGCGCTGGTGAGGGTCCTTACAGGCGTTGCTGTAGGCCCTCATAGACGCTGGTGTGGAGCCGTTAGAGACGGGTGTGGGACCTTACGAGCTGCTGACGCGAGCTCTCTACAAGCCGGCAGGGAGTCTCAGTGACCGGCAAGGGGCCCTTGGCCGACAGAAGAAGTCCTGTGGGGTCCTTAGAGACCGGCATGGTACTGTCAGACGCCGGTGGGGCTCTCAGAGCCACCGGTGTGGGGCCCTCAAAAGTCACCAGTGGATGGCGTTTAGATGCGCAGGTGTTGGTTGGGTTCTCGGAGCCGCCAATATAGGGCTTTTAGGCACTGGTGTAGACTGTAGGCACTCAGAGTTGGGGGCGTGAAACCCTCAGAGACACCGATATGGCCGTGGGCCCTCATAGGCGCCGATGAGGGCCCCACAGTTGCCGTTATGGGGCCCTCAGAAAAATAAGTGCGGGACCATCACAGGCGGGAAATGCCCCTAGAAGTGGCCCCTCATAGGCCGGTAAGAACTCTCAAGAGGCCAGTAACGGGCCTTTGGAGATCCACCGAGGGGCCCTTAAAAGTCATAAGAGGCACTCAGAAGCCGGCGTGGGGCCCTTATGGAGATATTAGTGTGGCTATTTGGGGTCCATGAGGTACTCTAACGAGCCCCATGGGGCCCTTCTAAGTCGAAATACTGTGGCATACTGCGGCAACTGTGGAGCCCCGATGAGGGCCCCACAGTTGCCGTTATGGGGCCCTCAGAAAAATAAGTGCGGGACCATCACAGGCGGGAAATGCCCCTAGAAGTGGTCCCTCATAGGCCGGTAAGAACTCTCAAGGGGCCAGTAACGGGCCTTTGGAGATCCACCGAGGGGCCCTTAAAAGTCATAAGAGGCACTCAGAAGCCGGCGTGGGGCCCTTATGGAGATATTAGTGTGGCTATTTGGGGTCCATGAGGTACTCTAACGAGCCCCATGGGGCCCTTCTAAGTCGAAATATGGCAATCGTTAGCCCTCAGCGGTTAAATGGCGCCGCAGGGCCCCTCGGACCCGAGGGTCCCTTTGAACCCGATGGAGGGGGGGGGACGTGTCCCCTTAGACCCCTAGCTACGCCACTGTTTCATATACATCATGTCAGGTATTTTAGGCTCGCCCCCCCCCCCCAACTTGAAAATCGTTCCCGGGCCCCTGCTGCATGTCGCTACATGGCCCAGGAGTCGAGTTAGACGGGGGTATTTAGACCCCCCCCCCTGCCCGACGCGGAAGTCGTGGAGCACCGGCACGGCGCGGGTTAAAGAGTCGATTCGTTGATTCGTGTCGCTTTTGTTGTATTACAGAGCACATATTTCGCAATCAGTTACAGCAGCGCTATGCATTTACCTTACGTCACTGGATGAGTATAATCCAACATGTCCTTCTTTATGTGCAGGGAAATTATATTTATCTTCGGGGGGATCAACAACGGCATATTAATCATATCGACGCGCATTATATTTACCGGCGAGCTCATCCATGTCAAATAATAACATATAAAAGCAGTTGTTACTGACAGGTCGTGGCGTAACCCTCTCTGGTGCCGTGGGTAGAAAAATAGCAAACACTACCGCTCAAACCACCGCTTTGGCCGCTCCTCCTCTGGAGGCTTTTTCCCCAAATGTATGTTCGGGAGGTGTGACTTCCTTCTTTCCTTATCAGCGCAGTCTGGAGAGTCACTGTATGATGAGGAATCATCATCGTCATCTTTACCTTTTGAGGCCATCAACCGCATCAACTTATTGCCATGCTTTTCTTCCTCTTTCTTCTGCGGTGTGAATATTGATTTTCTTCTTTCAGGTTCCTTTTTGTCCTTCACCGGTTTTGGTTTTGGTTTTGTCACCTTCTTGACCGGCTGCTCTTCCTCGGAACTGCTGGATGAATCTTCGGCAGCAGCTCTTTCCTTCATTAGCTGGACTCTTGTCTTTATTCCCTTTCCTTTAGCATTCTTTCCTTTCTTTGCCTGAGCCTTCCTGGCCTTCTCCTGCATCATCCGCTTCTTTCGTCCGGCGTCGTCGGAGTCAGAGTCAGAGTCCTCGAACAGTGCGGCGGCCAGTGAGGTCCGCGCGCGCCGATCTGCGCGCGCCTGCTTCACCTCGCTGTCGACATCGACACCCCGCAGCATGACCCAGCCGCTGGCCAGCAGCTGGCTCTCGTTCAGCGCCGCCTGACGGTCTGCCGAGCGCAGGATCTCACGCAGCTGCAGCTGCTCACTCACGCAGACGCCCAGGAAGAACATGAAGAACAGAGCACCGACGCCGATCAGGAGCCAGCCGAAGAAGACCAGGCGCGGGTTCTCCTCGTGCTGGAAGATCATCGGCAGGGGTATGCCGAGGATGTTTGGCGTGGTCGTCTCGAAGCGCAGCTCCGGCGGGATGGTGGGAGGCAGCCCCGTCGGGCCCATCGTCGTTTCTGGGCCCTCGACGAAATCATCGGCCCGGTACAGCTCTCGCTGAGGAATCGGCTCGAAGTTCACTTGCAGCTTTAGCTTCATTGCTGCCTCCAGAAATTCAGTGGCGGGATGTGACCACTGGTACACCACATTGAAGTACATCCAAAGTATGTGCTGCTTCGAACGCAAGGTCAGCATTTTCTCCTTCGTAACTTTGGATCCGACGTTAAAAATAGATGAGAAACATTCGGTTCGTTTGCGATTGTTCGTGTCACTAGTCCAAAACAGCTTGTAAAATAATCGACAGTCAAATAAGTAAAACTGTGGAAGGACGTGGGTCACAAACTCAGTCTGATGTAGTAGGTCGATTAACTTTCGCCTTTTCACCATCAGCTCGCTTGGGTCTAACCAAATGATGGGCCTCTGATCTTCTCTCTTAGTATCGACAACTATCGTACAAAACTGCATGTAATTAAATCGCCTATTTGCATAGGAACGCTTTCTAAAATCGAAATCCATATTAGCCATGTCAATAATGCCTGGATAATTCCACTGGATAAAGCATTCTGCCTTTTCCAGTCTGGGAAATATAGGACCGGTGGAATTCTTGCACGTAGGACCAGTATATCCTGTGGGACACTTGCAGGTACAGCTTTTCGTCAGATACCCAAAATTTTCACATTTCGGTACAGTTTGGTTATTTTCTTGACAAGCCTTCTTCCAAGCGTCGATGCATTTATAGGAAGTGTTTATCACAAGATA